ATGAGCAACTTTTTCATGAATTTCTGTAACTTACAAGCGTAAATAACGTCACAAAAAAAATTTCAATTTTTTTTCACAAAATATATTTTAATTTATCTGTAGAATATATATATATATACATATATATATTCCACAATATATGTACATATATAGAATATATACATATACAATATATTGTTGAATAAATATATTTCAAAGTGTTTATATATATAAGTATTAATAATTTTTTAAATTAAAAAATTCGCAAAATACAAAATAAATATCACGGAAAAGATTACTTTGCGGACTTCAAGTTTTGTTATGTGTTTATGGATTCCATTAGTCAGTTTCATTTTTATTTATAAATTTCGAAACACTTTACATACACAAGAAAAAAGAAAGACAATAACTTACAGTGATAATAGAAAGGCTAAATAAAAATTACTAATAAACTATACGTATAGCATCTTTTCCATTGAATGTTTAAAGGTCATATTGTTTTTTTTTTCTAGGTAAAGATACCGAAAAGATGTCAAGGTCGCTTCCAGATTCTTAAATAGGATTATATAGATATAACTTCTTTTCAGATAGCATGATCCCTCTAAATATATTCTGCATATAAGAATACCAAAGTAAAGATATTGAAAAATCATCAAATAATTTACTATATATCCCAAGAGCATGTTACTCTCGAATCAAAGCGAGTTACATAAATATAAGCAAACGATTGCAATCAATTTCAAGTGATTTTCCACGATTTCAAACGTTATAAAATGAAGCGTCAAACTATAACTCACATCGACTCGTGTTGATTCGCATTCTTTATTTTCAGTGGTTCTACTGATACGTTATTCATATATTATAATTTCATGTGTATATGTCATAGTAGGGGAGGCCAAGCGGGGATTTTTGGATTTACTCGAGCGCGTCAGAATAACATAAAGGGGGAAAGCTTGCACCCTAATAAGTACCCAAATATTAAACCTCTATATAGAGCCGGGGGTCCAGGGGATTAGTAAATAAAAAAAATCGATCGTTCGAAAACTCGAGCGCGTCAGATTAAGGTATGGTGTGTTAATTACATGTAGAAAAGTGTACATTTCAAAAATCTGACGCGCTCGAGGAATTTTTTTTTCCCCCTTTTTTTAACCCCTTCCTACAGCTAACCCCACCACGTAAACCGTCAGATTAATATTTATCCGTTATCAGAAACACATGGGTCGCTTACACTATTAATATCTGACACACTCGAGTATTTCATTGTCACTGTTTTTTTTTGAAAGCCTATTGTACACGCTCCCCCCACCACTGAAACGGCATACATCATATAACCTTTTTTTCTTTTTAGCATCTAATTTTCACAATCCAATAGGTTCCCACGACGCTCGAGTAAATCCACATTTAGCCTCTCGGCCTCCCCTACTATCATTATAATTTGCATTTGATTTCATAGTCAATGAAAAACTGAACGTTAAAAACGTTAAAAACTGTTGACTCGCGAGTGACATGATCTTCGGATATATCTTATATTTTATTCTGACAAATTACGACATGAAATATAAAATATCTCACAATCTAAAAAAAAATTTGAACTAATAATTATCTAGACTATTGATTTTTCGATATCCTTATTTCTTTGTGTAGGATACTTATGAAAACGTATTAAGTGAAAAAATCTTATAATTCCATTTAAAAAAGTAAAGGGGTGATTTTTGTATATTTTTTTGGCTCTTCATAACAAAAAAAGTAATAACCATATATATCTCTCAAAGCCGTTCTATTTTTAATTGAAAAATTTTTAGTATCGTCAATAATTTCGGAGAAAATTGACTATTTAAAATAAAATAAGACCTATATAAATTTCTAGAAACTGACAGAAATAAAATTATGTAAAGAAAAATTAATCTTTGTTTTTCCCTCTCTCATAACTAGTAAGTACATATATGATTTATACTGTTCTCATAATAAATAGAGAGGGGAGGGAGGAGGATGTGTGTGTGTGTGTGTGTGTGAGAAAGAAAGAGAGAGAGAAGCAAGTAAGCAAATACAATCGGAACGATATTTATTACAGAAAGATTATAAGATTATATTCAGGACTATAAACATTTCAGACGCGGTTCATGCGTCGTGATTAAGACGCCGGGGTTTCCCTGTTTAATATGTGAAAAATATTATTTACATTGCACATATATCACTAGCGTTACTATCAAACGAGCGAACAGTTGGTCGCTGAGAACTTTCCGCGAAAAGGCCGTTCCGAATGAAGAGAATACAACCTCATCTCAACACGATCGTCTTCTCCATAAAAAAATGATTTCAACAGGACTTCTAGCATAAATATGGTCTCTCCGCCCTACGCAATCGAGTTATCACTTATTATTCGTATTCACAACTCGACTGACTGGATTATCAGGACCACCGAATCAGCCTCTATAACCTTGCGTTAAAATTTTCACTTTTCGTTCCTTCGCTCTTAACAGATTACATAAACACTCAGCATACATAATTTTAACGCTAGAAGAGCCGAAGATGAGGAATCTTAAGAGACAAGCGTTTTTCTCCCTCGAGATATTCAGCTAAGAATTTGAAAATTTCCTCGAAAACTTACTTTATTTATACATCTAATAGAGATCTATAAAAGTTGCAGAACTTGCGAATCCTCGAGGAGAACTTATCCTCATCAGTTCAGTTCTTTTGGTGAAAAATTTTAATGTTTTTAATCTTTTGTGCATTATACTTTAAAATAATTTTAAATATGTTCGTAGAATAATCTTTTTTTTCGCACGACCGTGTCGGATAGTGTCGCGTTTGAGGCATTCGCGCCGCGAAAAGTCGCTCAAGAAGAAAAGGAGAGAGGACACGTGTTCTCCAATCGGGATCATTGCTAAGGCTAAGGTAAACGTCTAAACATCACGAATGGATAGCAGTTGCAGATTGGCGTCGAGAGAATCATTAGTACTCGTACAAACGCGTATAAGACCAAAAATAGTCATTTGTAGTCGATTGGGTCATCGAGAACGAATGAAGTAATCTTCTAATAGGCGATTATCGTCCATCGCAATCACGAATAGACGTGCTATTTGTAACCATTTCTGAAGAACGCAGGCAAATGCGATTTTTTTTCTGCTCTCGCTCTCATTGCGTCTTACTATCTTTTCTTAAGTACCGAATACAATATTATCGTTACTATCATTATCATTTATGTCTACATTCATCGTATATACGCGCCGTCTTCATTCTACGACGTTATCACCTTATTTCGCTGCCGTTAATCACTATCTTGTGTCGTTATAATAAAATACGTCAATATATATATATATGCAATATGTATATACGTATACATATATACGCAGGGCTGAGCATGTACTTGAAATACTTTTATTTAATAAATTATAGTTTTTGCAATAAAAGTATATTTTATATTTTGTATTTCAGCGATGTACATGAAAGTATCATGTATTTTATACTTAAAATTGAAAGAATTTGAAAACAAAAATTAAAAGAAAATTACTAATTTAAATTCAACAGAATTTACAATATTAAATCTATAAATCTGATGTGACTCGAACAATACATACAAAGAAGCAATATTAAATTTGTATTAGTTGAGGATGTCTCCAAGGTGAAACATACTAAATTTATTATTTCTATGAAATAAAATAGTAATTTGAAGAAATACACTTCTTTTTTATCACTGCGCGTACCAACAACAACGCTGTATTCTCATTCGCCCTTAATTACCGGAGTTTATGGTTTTAAAATTAAAATGTTGAAAATTTTGTGGCATTTCGTAATTTAAATAATAACAGTAATTGTCAATCTTAGTATTTAAAATACAAAATACAGAATACTTTCAATCTTTCATTATTAATACTAAACTACAAAATATTTTTATATAGCTCCATGAAATATAAAATGCAAAATATTTTTATGTGCTCCGCTGAAATACAAAATACAAGATATAATTGTCTTACAAATACCGTTTTTCAAACAAAAGTATTTCAAATACATACTCGACCTTGTATATAAGAAGTTCACGATCGAACTCTCAACGTCTACTGCAATGAAAAAAATATGTTTCCATTTTTAAAACTTTTCTCAGCACTTTGGAATTTCCTAAAAATTTTATTATTATCGCACGCATAACATGTCGAAAGAAACGACGAATTGCTTAATATGTTCATAACGAATCGGGCCATCTTATGTAAGTGGCGAAATAACTGTCGGCGATGTTGATCAATTATTACAGATATTCGACACTTGCAATTTATGACACGTTTTTAACCCGAAATATCGCTATTAAGTACCGACTAAAAAAAAAGTATTTGAAATCTGTGCAGATTCGAACTTTGTAGACGATTAGAATGCTGCTAGAAATATTTCACTCATTAATGCAACATAAATTTAATTAGGCGAAGGACAGACGAAGACAAACGTGTGTCAGTGAAATATTATGTTACATCAATCACGGAACAAAGACGTGATAGTTTTTTGTCGATAATGTTCATAACGTTAATTTCTAGAAACCGGAAATTAAAAATTAGCGAGAATTATACGAGAAATTGCAGTAAGACGACGTCGACGATAGTCAGACGACTATCGATATCTGAAAAGCATCTGAAGCAGGAAATATCACTTTCTAAGAGGATAAAACGCGTACAAAAACCCTAGTCGTATAAATAAGTCTATAAACGCTTAACAAGACGATATCTTAAAGTAGTCGTTACATAGTAATACGGAAGCATTGCGCATTACTCTTCTTTCCTTTTTAACGGCACTATATATTATGTATATATAATATGTTACTATACCAACAATGTGTAGTGTCTCGATAAAAAATACAAGATGCTAATCCGAGAAATGATAGAAAATAATTGTTTACAAAACTATCTCTAAAAGTAAAAATAACTATACGAAATTCACGATATACCGTCGCATTCATACATAGCCGTACGAAGCATCGGTAATTTCTACATTTATATAATAGCGACAGTATTTTTACATTCGATAGTAGAGCAGCAGATAATAATAACAAAATTGCAAAAAACTCACGAGCGTTAGTCTTGTTCGCTTGCAAAAAAAGAGACGAGTGTATCTAGCATTTTCGAATTCATATTTTCCTTGAAATATGCACTTTGTACTTAAACATCGATCTCTCCTTCGTGTATCAGCAGTGCAATTGATAAATTACGATTGAAACGTGTTTGGAGAACGTCTGGAGAAAACAGAGTCACAAAATCGGACGCGTCGTCTCATAACTACCGTCTCATTATCCTTATCCACTCGATAAGTTTTTTCTCTCTCTTTTTGTATGTGTGTATGCACGTAGTGAATATACAGAATATCTATGCGCTATCAGAGAATGAGAGTGCGTTCCGTTTCTCGCATGATGCGCAGACTGCATAGATAACCGTTCCGTTTCATCTAATGCGTGCATTGGTAGCACATGGGATTCCCAAGATTCTCCCTACCATTAGCGCATGAGGAGCGCATCAATTACTACAGCGAGTACGTTCCAAAATTACTAGCGTTGTTGTTACTGAAATGACTGACTTGTATCGTTCTGAAATTTAAGTTTTTACTGTATTGGATTTCGGAACAGAAAAGCAGTATACACATTATGGTGGTAATGATAGTATATACACATTGTACAGTGAGAAAGTGTTCAGTCTCGTGCGATCCAATAAAGCGTCAACAAGTAAAAATTTAACTTTCGAGGTTATTACTAACTGAGTTCCTATTTTGTGCAAATTGAAATTAATAAATGCATTAATAAATGCTCGGTATCAGATGCGGTACTAGATGCGCATACAATTACGCATTAATGAGACGGAATGTGCAGCGCATTGACTGTTATCTATGCTTGATAAAATGGCCCCGACCACGAACTGAATCGATACGGCCAACATCAAAAAGCTATCGCCACAGACGGCGAGTCGCAAATTGTTCTATGCGTTCAATGCGAGAAACGAAACGCACCCTGAGATTTCAGAGCGACCACTGTAGGCATTTTGTCGCTTGTTTCCGTAACGGCGATATGTTTTTGCCGCCAGTTCTTCGAAACAGAGGCAGATCGTGGAGTTAGCGATTAATAGATCAGTTTAAATAATGTAATTATATATGGTTAGCGAAGAGAGAGACAGCATGGTTGAGATTCTTTGGAAAAGTTTCGAGAGAACGAGTGGCTTATAGACGATAGACGGACTCATCGCGCGTCTTTCGCCGTCAGTTTCTCTATTAGCTCCTGCAGAGGTGCCAATTCTCTTCTCTCGATCAAATTAAATTCCTACAATGCGATATTATACATTAAATATCAGGAATAAAATTAAAGAATTAATTACAACTATACATGTATGTATATGTATATGTATAATACATATATATAAGGATGGTTTAAATATAAATAAATCTTTTTTGTTTTAATATTATACAAATCAATATTGATAGACGTGTTTACACCAAGTGATAGATGTGGTTGTCTGCTCACTCTTTACATAGTAGTAGTCTCGTAACAATTGTTTTTGTGGTCATTATAATGTCCGAACAAATGGCACCAAGTGCAAATGAAAACCGTCAAAATTCTGCGTAAATTGCGTACACAGTTCAGAGAAGAGATAGCGTTATCGAAAGCGCAGTGCGTTTGATATTAATTATATTTATCTGAACATCACAATGACTAATAATAGAAACAATAATAGAAACAATTGTCATGAAGTCACAATTATACAGAATGTAAGCACATACCTCCATCTGTCACTAAGTATAATAACGTGTCACTCAGTGTAAAAAACGTCTACAAATGTTGATTTGTATTTCCATAAAAAAGTCTTATTCATATTTAAACCACTCTCGTATTACTATATCATAAAATTGATCATTGATTTTGTTACCAATTTAGTCTCTTTAACCTATTTTTTCGAAATATGATTGTATACCTGAACGAAGAATATGAAATGCTTGAACGACGTATTTAAATGTGCCTCTTCACCGAGCTGCACGACTTCACTAAAATGTTGATGATAGATGTGAGCATATACTCTGAATAACCGCTTCAGGATAGTCTTTGCAATAGATAAAAAATTCTTGGGAAAAGGAACTCCTGCAAAGAGAATAATCGAAGATTAGTTTTCTGTTCGGGATGATGATTGATGAGAAAGTTCGTGAAGAAAATTAAATCACCGATTTTGGATGGAAATAGAGTCTCATCGTCCAATTGATCCTGCACCCAAGTCATTAAGTAGTCTATGTATTTGGGTGCTGAACATTTGATAGGCTTTTTTACCGTGTGACCGTCAGCCCAGTGATATTCGTACTTCGGTCCAGCTGACATGATGGGACAACTCTCCTCCGTACAGAATTCTGTGATGGTGCCGTATAACATGTTGATTTGATTGAAAAAATCAACAGCTGAAGGAAAAAAAAACACACATTTAGAGCTAGTTGATATAAAAATAATAATGGAGATAAAAAATAAATTTTTCAATTTACTATTAACAGCGACCCATTCATTCAAATCTTCTCCTTCAGGAAGCATTACAGCCAATCGCAGATTACCGGAGCCTAATGTAGCAGCGGCATGTTTCATCAAGTCATATTGATGAGTACCCTCTGGGATGTTCTTCTTTGGTTTAAAAGTCTTGGAAGACCTACTCCCACTTGAAAGAAAAAAAGGCAGACATTAGAAGATCATTATTTGTGATTTCTATTTGTTATTATAAGATTTGAAGTTGTTATTTTAGTATTTTAGCTTGATATATATATATATATATATATATTATCTCAATAATTAATTACATTCTTTCTTTACTTAAAAATCTAATGTATGAGACAAGAAGATAGATAACATATATATGTATAAGCTATTTATCATTATAGATAAATCAATAGCAATCAGTTAACTATCGATGCTTATTAATAACACTTGTTCGTACTATTGATAAGATTGAAAAATGGCAAACTTTAAGGCGTTTAATTAAAAAATAGAAATAAAAGTGTATAATATATAATTCTAAATTCATTGTATTATTTTAATTTATTATAATTTTTTCAATAATTTTACTTTCTAATTTATCAAAGATTGCATTTTTTAAACAATAATAAAAATAAATTTTCCGTTTAGTCTTTTATGATATATTCCTGAAATAATAAAGATAAAATATTTGTTTCGATTGTCTCCTAAAAGGAAAACTGTCGTCTTATTTCATCTTCAGATAAGATTAACATATAAATATATATGTATATTCTTATGTTTAGAATATCTTTACCCGATGTTATAATACACAATGCCACAGTATTCGAAACCAATGTAATAAATTATTTCAGTTTCAAGAATTTTTTTATTTAAGAAAATAAAATGTATATTTAGGAGATACAGGCGCTAAACGAGCTAGAACTTCAGTGCTGAAGTAATTTTGTATGAATTTATATACTACATGTATTATGTAATCTTTTTTTTTTAAATTGCATCGAAATTATTTTCGATCTTGAAACGCAATTCGATTAAACTATAATAATATTACAAATAAAATCGAAACAATTTTTAATAATTTGATGCGCAATCAGGCATCTTATTAGAAAAATGTTAATATGGTGAAAAATTATAAATAAATTTATTATTAAATTGCTTGTTAAAGTTTAAAAAATTTAAAAAGACTACATACATGTAGTACATAAATTCGTATAGAATTATTTCAGCACTTAAGATCTAGTCTGACCGTTTAGGGCCCTTATTTTTTAATTATTGTGTAATTATATAACGGTTTTATTCGAAACTTTGTGTTATGAAATGTATATTTCTCTTTCAATGATAAATATGATCGTTCGTACATTGATTCTATTTTACAATAAATCGAAGAATAATAGTATTGGATCCATAAATCTCTTTTTTATTTTTAATAAGTGTAATTTTCATTTTTGTTTCATAACTTTATCATAATTATGTGATTGTGATGATTTTGATATCCTACAAAATTATAACAAATGCGAAATAATTCATTAAAAGTAACAATTTGAAATATCATCAATAGATAATTTATATCTTCTTGAGTTAAAATAATAATTTAAAATAAAACAATTTCTTTTTCAAACTATATTAATTCTAAATGTCATCTGCAGAAGATTTCTTTTTAGTTATAAAAATGAAACAATTCAAAATGTGTTACTCTTATAGAAGGTATTATGATTTTTTGAAAATTATAAGAACAATATTTAATGGACAGACTGTGAAGTTACTTTTGATGATCGATGGAGTGATTTTTATCTAATTCATTTAGGGTAAAAAAATATTAAAAAATCATATTTTTTGTGTTACTTTTAAAATAAAAGAATAACGTAGAGATATATACAAAAGTAATTTTCCATTGAACTTCTTATTGGATGACATTTTTCTACATTCAGCAAATTTTTTTCTCTTTTCTTTTTTTAAAAACCTATATACTTGTACAATAAATAACAAAAGGCAGGTAAAAAAGTGCAAATATTATCTCCCTCCTCCTTTTCTCTCTTTTTCTTTCTCATTGTCTATATCTCTGTACATTTTCTCTGGCCAATCGTTTTTTTCTTTCTAGACAAAAATGGCTAAATATATATTTCTTTACAAACACAAAAAACATAAAGAAGTTATAGCTCAAAAAGAAAAAAAAAGGAACCCTGCCGGATCGTAACGCTCAGCTGATCGTGATCACGCGCACGTATAAATCAACAGCGTTATTTATCGCAAATGTCAAAGTGGCTCCAAGAACGTCGACATCGCGACATTCTCGATGACGAGGAGCAAAGGCGCGGCCATCGAAACAGATGATTCATAGATTACGTGCCGCGTCGAGCGATAATCCTGATGCTCGAGGAACATGGTGGGTCCTACGGGAAGACGCACTAAGGGAAGAGCCTCCCACACGCTAGGCATGCTATTTTTATTCTCAATTGATTCTGACCAGTAGATGACAAAATTGAACTCATCCTTGTCGAATTCGTCATAGAAAACAATAAATTTGATTGTTAGAAAAGAAAGAAAACAAGGATATCCTGGAATAGAATAAGAAACGGAGATTATAAGCGGAATCTTTTCTAAAGAAAAATAAAAATAAATCATCGGCTGTCTCACAAAACGAGGTGAACAAGATCAGGATTATCGCTCCTGTGATTTCATTCTGTCTCGTCCTTGTAGGGAGTACGAGGACATATCGATCGGAGGGCGGCAATTTAATTCGACTCGACTCCACGGCGACGGTCGGGGAGGAGAAAGTTGCGGAGGCGAAGAAGAGGAGACTCACAATAGAAAACTCATCGTGACGGGCTCGTCGTCGCTCCGTTCGTTGCGTCTACGCTCGCCTGTTTCGCTCGGTCGCGTGGTCCGCTCAGGTTCGCTGTGTGTGTCCTTGCTCAATTAGACGCGTAACGAGACGACTGGAAACGACGGATTGTGTGATTATCACGATGACGATGACGACGACGGTGACGACGCCGACGACGAGAACGTGCCAGCCAGCCGGCCGCCACACTCGCGTGTGCGATCGCCTCCTCACAATGCTACTCGCTCTTCTTGTCCTGTAAACGCTGTTACACCAAAGAGACGAATTTCCGTCCACACAACCCAAGCCACTCGCTGCGTCGTCGTCAGTCCACTAAATTGTCCGGTTTCTCTTGCACTCTATTCTCTTCTCCCTTCCTTAAAGTTCCTTTCTCTCTTTTTCAAATCGCCGGACGGTGCATGATCGATCTGGCAAAAATCACGGCGGTGCGGTTACAACACCGACGAGATGCTAACAGAAGGTCTGTTCTTTATTCCTGCACTGTTGAACTGATGTACATATTACAACTAACGACATATACACAGGTCAAGATCTATTCTATTCGTAGGTTGAAACCGGAAGTTAACAGTTTAAAGCGACCTTATGGCCGCAGCACACACTTTTGCATGACACATAAGAGAGAATCAACAAATCATAATCCTTCTTTTCTTCCCACTTCACGGAAGAAAAGCATTTTGATTGGTTGATATTCACGATGACACAGTTTGGGCTTTTAGGCTGCGTGTTCCAAAACTCGAGTCTGTTAAACCAAGTATCATTTTATCCTTATTTTTCACCGAACGTTGAACAAGGATAAAGATACTCCGGTAGTTGATTGAGTCGAGTTTTGGAACGCACTCTGGAAACGCGGCTTGCATCGATCGTCTGCCGAACGCGTCGTCATCATCCGCCATTTTGTTCACGAATCTTTGGTTTCGTCGGTACTTGCGAGAGTTTCTGGGACGTAGATACGTCTGTTATATCAGTTGTTTGTACCGTATTCTCAGGCAGTATTCAGCAAACAACTTCAAAGATAATATTGTGGTTCGAGCACATTTATTTAATTAATTGCCTGACTTAGTACTTGAGAACAGGAACAGCGGTATTTCAACATCCTAACGACGGTAAGTCGGTGTCGTGAATTTGGTCGAATGCCTCTCCCGATAGTCGTAATGGTACTCTCCCGCGATGTTTCATCAAATATCTATGCGTCTATTAAGTCTGTTTTGGTAAACAAAGTAGTATTTATGTTCAGAACTTAAATAAAATTGGTACGTATTTGATATATTTAACAAAAAGTTCATTGTGTAAGATTAAAAAAAAACAGATGTCGTAACACCCAATGTGTGATGTCAATTAAATTCTTCATGACTTTCGCGTGTATTTTCGTTTTGGAGTTGATTAAAAGTAAAACGCCGCGATCAACCAAACGATCATGAACTTGCCGGACTCTTGTCTTTGTGTCTTAGGTTTTTTGTTTTTCTCCCCTCTTTTTTTCCTGTTATTGTTTGTCATCTGTGTATGTTTTTTGCAAAAACGCAGTTTCCAAGATTTCAATATAAATGTGAAACGCGCGTTATATATTTCAATATACTATAATGTGAATCTAATTTGGAAGAATTGTGAAATCACTGATATTTAAGTAATTTAATTAAGTTTTATATACTCCAAGTTTAATATCAAGTATATTTAAGTCCAGTAGCGTATTAAAGTCATCACTAATCTGAGTGCATTAAAATAAAATGCTTATTTACTGAACGTTTAGTAAGTAATCTGCAATACTGAATGCAATCTGTGTATTTAAAATGTGTTACATATTTTATCAAATAGTATTAATAAAATAATTAAAAATTTTACAGTTCTATTTACATATTTATATTAAACATATATAGTCAATTTGTGTATAATGAGTTTAATGTGCATTGAGTGCACACTAGTGCATCCAACTACATTTGCTATTATAATTTTGCTATATCGTTACAATAACTTCATTGTGCTAAATTGATCGTAAAATATTTCATCTTTGTGTTTATAGATATTACGTATAAGGAGAGATTGTACTAGATTAGAATCATGTCGAGTGGTAGTGGAGATCATGAGGAAGAGGGATTTGTTGTTAAGGTGCGTGGACTGCCATGGTCCACCACTGTGGATGAGATCATGAAATTCTTTGGCGATTGTTCGATTTCAAATGGCAAGAATGGAGTTCACATGACTACATCTCGCGAGGGACGTCCTAGCGGCGAAGCTTATGTAGAAATGGATACTCCAGAAGATATTGAGAAGGCTTGCAAAAGAGATAGAGATCATATGGGCCATCGTTATATTGAAGGTTAATTTACTATATAAGTTCTTTTAACATATAAGTTTTTTTAATATATAATGCCTGTGTTTAACAAAAAATGTAGTTTTCAATTATTGTAAAATTCTTTAATATGATTGGGTTTATCTTTACCTCCTCATTAAACTTAAATATATACACCATATTAGAGAATCTTACAATAATTGCAAAGCTGCTTTCTATTGAATGCTGCCATTAACATTTGGTGTTTCTTACAATATAATTTATTTATCTTTTTTGAATAGGTATTTGGTATGTCCCTTATTGAAACATTGAATGCATTCAAGATTCAAGGGTACGTTTAGATTTCCACCTATAAATGCTTTCCAAGTATCATATTATCTTTGTGTAACATTCAGTATACAATAAGGATAAAGTGATACCTAGATGACACTCAAATTGAAATCTAAATGTAGCCCTGAATGAAACAGTCTACTTGCTGAATAATTGAACACGATTTATCCTTACCTGTGAATTGAACTAATTGTATTTCAGCTTGAATGCGACTAATATTTTTAATGATTTGACATTTGATCAATTGCACTACACTGGATTAGTATACATTAAAGTTACTTTAATGTATATTAGTACATACATATAGTATCTATTATTAGTATAATATAATTATTTTTTACAACAAAACGATACATATATATTCTGTTAAGTAACGCGCGCGCGCGCACACGCACGCGCACACACACACACACACACACACACACACAAAATTATTAATATTGGATATATATTTAAGATATTGATGTTCTTTTACATCTAACTTTTCTGATTTTATATACAACGGCTATTAGTGTGCATTAATTTAGTGTAATACAAGTGACTAAATTTGCTATAATAGGAATGTGTGTTAAAACATATACTTATCAATAAAATTAGTTTAAATGAGTTTATAATTAATAAACTGATATGTGAAATGTATTGAATAAATAGGATAACTTTTTCTTCGAATATATTGTCTCTACGTTATTATAATTATATATCATTGTTGCTGTTTCAGTTTTTAAAGCAAAACGTGGCGAAATGGAATGGGTCGTGAAGAGGAGCGGTCTTAATTTGGAGAACGCGATGGACGATGGTTGCGTGAGATTGCGCGGCCTACCGTTTGGCTGTTCGAAAGAGGAAATTGCACAATTCTTCTCAGGTACTTAGCATGTAACAATGAAAATACCCAGTATCAATACTTTTTAATTGATATCAAATGTCATTGATATTTTATTTAATCCTTGGAAAACAGACACCTATTCATCTTTTTCAAAATATATGTAGCTTTTTTATATTTTTATACTTCCCTTTTCATAAGATAAAAATAAATAAATAAAAGTCAACAATTTGTCTCAGGAACGCAGCGACGGATACTTTCGATGGCTTTAACATAAATTACTAAAATTACTATCTTGCATCAATGAGTTCTAGCAAACTGTTACAATTGCTTTCTAACAATAGATGCTTATTCTAAAATTAGCTACTAAAAATAATGAGATAATATAGCTCAAACGCACATGTCGAAATTAAAAATTAAGTTGAAATTTAAATTCCATCTGAAGAGCGATGTTTCTGTGTTCTGATATCGACGATTAGCCTCAGTTAAGATTTAAGATTTCGCTAACTAAGATCTGAGTTGTGCTATACAAACGCGTTGCAGATTTATGATTTTTATAATTTGTACGAAAACGAAATAAAAATATTTTCATTGCGCGATTTGGTGATCGAACTTAATTCTTAACTTTGGTTTTCGGACGTGGCAATTTAATGTTCTATCTGTATAAGGAGAATCACGAAGAGAAAGAAGAAAGAAAAAGAATGCGTACGTATGTGCGCAATTTTAGAGTCCTTAAAAATTTTGCTTCTTTTATAAGGGTTTTAATAAACTTGACCATAACTTCTTTTTCCTAATGGGTGCCTATAAGCTACAATATCGATGTTTGATTATGTGTGGGTCAGGGTTGGAGATTCTTCCGAACGGGATATCACTACCGACAGACTACACGGGCCGCAGTACTGGGGAGGCTTACGTTCAATTTGTTAACAAAGATGTTGCGGAGCGCGCTCTGCAGAAACACAAGGAAAAGATAGGACACAGGTGGGGCACTGAGATGGTATAGCTGGGTTTGGGTATACTTATGACTTTTCCATATCATTTATATTAATGATCGTAGTACATGTAGGTATATACATTTCGTTTAGTAAATAGTGGGAACGAATTCTACGATACGGATGCAGCTTCTTTATTTTTTCCTGAGGAGAATTTTCCGCGCAAGAACGAAAATGGAGGAACTATTGTATTTTTATTATTATTAACCTCTATTCAATATATGTATGTTCGCACATTTTAAAAGTTTTAAACATGAGCTAGTTTGAGAAAATCCTACATCTTGCCGTGTTGAGATAACTGAAAATTAACAACCTTTAAAGTCACAAACGAATTAATTTTTTTATCGAAAGAGGATCACCTCTAGAAAACTTCGTGTTTGACATAAAGAAACTGCCTCTCTCAAAACACATTTACAATTGAATAGTCGTACGTAAGCGAAAGTACTGTGGACCCAACTACTTATATTCGTGGGTGGGTGTTGGGGGGGCGGGAGATAGCCCCTTACCATCATCACCAAATCCCATGGGAGGTGGGTAGGGCAAGCTAAAGCTCAGTGGGTGCTACAGAGAGAGAGAGAGAGAGAGAGAGAGAGAGAGAGAGAGAGAGAGAGAGAGAGAGAGAGAGAGAGAGAGAGAG